TTATAGAATAAACATTATAAACTATAAATATCTAATAAAAATCTAGTATTTTTGTTATCCAAGCTGGGAAATGCTTGAAATCATGTCTGAAAATAAATAAATTTTTGAAGTTCATCCTTTCTACCAGAAACTATCTTATGCAGGTTTATATATTCATAAGATATTTTCTAAAAACTCATTAAGTACTTGTCTAACAGATACAGAGGGTAAACTCATTAATTGATAATTTAAATAATAGAACTCCATGAATAATAAAGTTTTTGTAAAATTCATATTAAAGTCATTTATTTTGGAACAAGAGCCATATTTTTTTTTATAAAAAGTAGTGTCTCTTAAAGTCTAGACAATGATTACTCAGAACTTATAATTTATATTTCATGAATTATTGGAAGGGCCAAAAAGAATAATTATTATTACTAATTACATTTTTATTCTATTCAAAAAATTTGAATGTGAATAATATTTTATTTATTTGTTAAAAATGTGCAGGATATTAGAGACAATTAAAATATATGTTATAGTTTACGTAAAATTTAGAAGTACGTCATCGGTACGATGATTTCACAATTAGTGAAAAATACAAATAAAAAATACGAAAAAAATTTTTGTCTGTAAAATTAATATCGGTTATAATATTGTTTTTACTGATGATTTCTAAATTTATGATCTATGATCAGTGAATTTCTACTAAACAATTCACGATTTTGTTTAAAAAGTCTAATTCGCTAATTTTATTTTTATGGGATCGTTCAAGTATTACGTAAGCAGATTTATTACAATTATTTCCCCCCCCCCACACCCCTTGTCAGCAAAAGTAAGCAAAGCTCTTAACACCTACCCCCATGCTTATGTAAACATTTTGCAATTAATGTAAAAAAATAAAACTACTACCTATGACGTAATCATCATCCAGACTCCCCTGCCCCCCATGTCAACCCAAAATAAGCAAATCAACAACCCTCCCGCCCCCCTAAAATGCTTACGTAAAATTTGAACGGCTCCTATGTCGTTTTGCTTGACTGAAACGTTTGTATTAAAAAAATGTATGGATAGTCAATATGTATATTTTGTATATATACAAAATTTCAAGCATCTTATTATAATAAAAATTTATACCTAGTTTATATTTATTTCAGTAATTACCAGCAAATTATACTTAGCTTATACTCAATTGGAATAATTTTCTTCTGGAAATTATAGCCATCTGCCAACTGAATAAGTAGTAATCAGGAAATTTTGTGAAAAGTTAAAATAATTGAGTGTGAAAAAATATTTACATTCTCTGATATACAATAACGAACAGTCAATTACAAAAAACGTCAAACATAACAAATGTCATCCTCAATCAAAGATAAAACACGATAAAATTAAGTATTCCTTAATACTTATTATTCCTTACTTATTATTCCTTAATCCTTATTACTTAATACTTATTCCTTAATTAATATCGTCTACTACGAACAAACAATTAGTTTGCGTAAAAATCCTTCGTCAAAGCGATTACAGGAGATCGACATAAAAATTATCATCTCATGAAAACTACTTCAAAATTCGCGTAATTGATGAAGCTCTTGATACTTAAATAAACAAATTATTTTGTGAACTACACAATTTTTATACGACTTAATCTCACAACAAGTACAATAAAATTATGTTTCTGATAAAGCTTAAGCAGACATTTACGTAATAAAACTTTCCGTATAAATTCATTCAATTTTGATGCAGACAGTTATAATTTTTTGACTGGTTCCAAATAGAATCTGTGTATTGTTTCATAAGTATTTTATTCAAATTCAGTGAAAATGTTGTCTCCAAAAGTGCTTTTGGTTTTCTTCTCAATTATTGCTTATACTCAGGTAGTAATAAAAATTCAAAAGCACAAAATTAATACGAATATAAATGTTTTTAATTAGCAATATTAGTAATAATTATTTATATCAATTATTTATATAAAAAGCAAAATTTTTGAAATTATGAAAGAATTTATGCAATACCTACTTGTTTAAATTTTTTTGTTTTGATTATTTTTTTAACAATTTCTGAAATAATTAAACTTTCAATTAATAACTCTGAAACGTAAGTGTATAGATTATTATATTATTTTAGAGAAAAAAAACTTACTAATTAAACTCCTTAAACTCTAGTGCAATTTGAATGTGACTTAAGAAATATAATTAGTTAATTATTGTTTATAGTATAAAGTCGTTTACTATGTCATGTTTTTGTATCGAAGTTTTGCATCAAGATGCTCTAAATTTAATATTATTAAAAAAAGCATAAATGTTTATATTCTTTGTGAAATGTTAATAATCACTCCACAAAGTATATCAAAATACTTATTGAATGCTATTAAATAAGTAATGAAAGTGTTAATCTAGTTCCTGATAGAGGTTTGTACGAAACCTTCAGTGTATAATGTGTAATAGTTTTTTTTTATAACAGTGTATAATCATTTTTTTCGTAATATAATATTAAAATTTATCTTAAAAATGAAATACTTAAATCGCTGCTTCTCTTCTTTGAACTAGATAATTTTTTCTTCGGTCTTGATTCAGCAATACCTGATTTAGATAACATTATTAAAGTTATATTGTATTTATTATAAATGTATGATGAATAAACATGACAAATATTTTATGAACAAGCTAAGCTTTGAAATTACTAATATAGAACTATCATTAATTTATCTCAAGCTGAAGTAACTGTGCTATTGGCGTTTGATATTCTCCACAAATTTGAAAATTTTATTAAAATTTTATTTGAAATTTTTGTGTATTCTGGTTTTAATATTAATAATCATTTTATTATGTAGAGTGAAACAGTGAACACATGCTCAAATAATGGAATCGATTTGTGCGCTGTTCTCAGATCTTTGGCATCGCTGGAAGTTGAAATTGACATCTTAGCTTTGATTGTGGTAAATATTTTTTTACATTTGCAAATAAAAAAACTTAACAATAACAATTAATAGTTAATTAATATTAATAGTTATCAAAATTAATAAAACTAATTAAAATTATTATTTGAAACAGAAATTCAGAATCTTCTTGGATCGGTTGTCAGTACTATGGTATGCAGTCTCGGCGTCCAAGTGGTGTGTATACTGATTAATATAATATACATATGATTTTTTTTTATACTTAAATTCTTAAATTATTAGTTAAATATTTCTCAAACTTTATTTTACTAATATAAATTTTACTATTACAAATTTTGAAATAAAATTTTCACTTGAAATATATTATTTTTCAGTGTGTGCCATTATGTACAGTTGTCCAAGCTTTGATGGAACTGAGCATTGATGTGGTAAATATCACTTTTTTTAATTTTTCAGTAATTTTAATTTTATATGAAGAGCAATATGAACTTAAAATTGTATAAGTATAATCTCCAAGAAATACATACGAAATAAAATTGAGGCCACAAACCAAATCGTAGCAAAAGTTTATTAGAACGCAATTTGGAAGTGGGCTTAATGCATTTACTTAATCAAGTATTTTCCTTTTTATTTTAAGTTTCTATTACTATGTAACTTTTTTTTGATCTCTTACTAATTAGTATTAATTTACAATGAAATTTACAACTTAGACTAAATGAGAGTTAAATAGATTTTTGAAAGCACATAATTTTTTTTCGAATCTTTGGCGCTATTATAATTACACTAGGAATATAGGGGGTATACAACCTTTTCATCGCATATATATGTAAAAAAAATCTAGGCGTAAAATCAGTTAATAGCGGTTAATTTCAGTGCGCTGTTGTCAGATTTTTTTAAAAATGGTTTCTTCGAATTGCTCAGGGTTAATAAGTGATTTGAATGAATCTAGTATATTGCTAAACTTATTACTTAATAAATAAGTAAGAAGAATATTAACATTAATAACTTAAAAAACTATCTGACTAACTAAAATTGGTTAGTTTTTCTCCAAATTTCAACATACTTTTATACAAAAGTCAACATTTTCAGGTAAATCGCCAAGTTACGATTATGCTTAATTTTTTTTTACAAATAGAAAAAATTCTGTCAATATTTCTACTTTAGATCAAAACTTTTGGTAAAATTAAAAAAAAAAACTAAATTACAGCTATAATAACAAATTTCCTTTGCTATTACTCTAGTAAAATTAGTTGAACATATCCAATTAATTATTATTATTTAAATTTTTTTACAAATATATAAAACTTTTTTTTTATTGCAGAACATTATCAATACCATCATCATTAGTGTAACAGGAGAACCACCAGCATGCAATATCTAAATACAAAGGATTTCTATATTGCTCATGGATTTAGAACCATATGCACACATGTTCCATTAAATGTTTTGTTAGACAAATAAATCTTGTTATGAAAATTACGAATTGAATTTTGTAGACTAGTCGATATACTACTACCATGTAATAAAATTCATATTTTTAGTATAAACCTTGCAATTGTACTTTGACTTATTATTATTTATTAGCAATTAAATTAACTATTAAAATATTTTACCATATATATCATGTTTTATAAATCAAACTTCCACTTGCACATTGAATGCAACAATGAATACTACAAAAAGTTCCAAGACATTAGTGGCAAAAATTAATTTTCATGCTTTTATCATTTTTCCTTATTTAATTATTTCATGAGTTTTGAAACTGATACAAAAATTATTATTAGTCATTGATGGAAGAAAAACGCTTAAAATTTTGACTGTAAAGCTATTTAATCTACATGAATAAACTAGACAAAGCAACATTAACCATGTGAAAATATTTGAAACTTGCATGGCGTTTTTTCATATTATTTGAAAAAAGCTTGATTTTGGATAAATCTAAAAAAAAAAAAAAATTACTTTCGAAATTTAAAAAGTCGACAAATTCAAAGCGTGTTTTTTTGTTAGCTGTTAAACTACTTTTTGGCTTTAATAATTTTTGAAAAATTAATCAAATTTAATTAACTTTATTACAGTTTTAAGTATTCAATTTGGCACCATACAGCTATCAAAATTGGATAACCAAAAATACAACGATGGAAGTTCATATAAACTCCGGCCTTTAAAAATTGTATATTTATTACTGTTGTAATTCCGTAATTTCCAGATTGGTCAATGTGTCTTGTATGACGTTTCAAAAGCTGATATGAAAAACCGTTTAAAAAAGCCTAATAAATTCTACGCAAAAGTTCGGTTTGAAGACTTCTGGTTATAAAAAACAAAAATAGATTTTTCGAGATTTAAATTAAGTTTAAGTCATAAAAAATTATGTATTGACTGTAGTTATTACAGAAACTTAACGATCGAGTGGTATAAAAAACAAAATTAGCCCAAAAAACAGCATGTTAGCAGTTGCACCAACGCCAATATTTCTTGATTGAACCAAAACATCTATAAAGTTAAGTAAAAATAAAATACTCACTTTTAATTACAGATTGTTCACATTTGAATAATTGTTAATATATTTTTATTATTTCTATTAAAATTCTAGGATTCACTGGGAATGTCCTTCTCCTATAGGTGATATCTTGTAAATACTTTTTAAACGAACAGTGTTTGCAACAAAATAAGCTCACGGAAATACTTTATTTGGTTTATATAGCAATACAAAAACATTAAATTTTATATGATAGTAAAAAATGTAAATTTCCATTTTCTGAATTGAAAAACAAGTTGATAACGATGAATTGTTTAAATAAGGCTAATAAATAGAACACTAAAGCAGAGATAAGCTTATGCCTTTTGATAGGGCCTTTTTTATTATACAGAGTAAATATAGAGATTTAAATTAGGCTATGATATCCACTATTTAAGCTTAATATGTTGAAAATATAGTCAATTGATTGCATTCAAAATTAAAAGCCAAAGCTTGCAATAATAATATTTTATTAAAATGCAGCGAAGTTTTTATAACAGTCATTAATTTTGTTTATTTTACGGGATTTAAAGCATTTTAACAATTAAACTTCTGGAAGATAACTGTTTTTTTCCTACCAATAAACAAATTATAATAAGATTGCAGAAAATATTCAATAAACAGTGATTTGCAAATTTATCCCATTTATATAAACTTTTTCAGTTGCAAATATCATTTTACTGAAGAGGAAGTGTGATTAAAAACTTGATTAAAAATGTGGAGTTCTAAAGCAAAAAGTTTGTGCATTCTAACGATTTTGGCATTTTTCGTTTGCGTACAGGTAAATAAATTAAAATTGTAATGATGTTTACTAGAATATTTAAATTACATCAGCCATATAATTTTAGTGATATATACATAAAAAATTACAATATGTTACGGTTGTAGAAGTGCTCATGGCACAGCCGTTATTATTCAAAAAAGATATTTGTATGTTTCTACCAAACATTCCAATATATATTTTGCATACATTTTTAAGAATTATTGAAATGATTTAAACAAAATCCATTAATATTTGTTAATTTAAATTAATATTTGTTAGCCTTATGCCAAATTTGCCCAAGATGGTTCTTGTTAATCACAAGTCACAAAAAGCGGTTTAAATTAAAAAATAATGCATATTTTGTTGGTCAACTAGATTATTTTCAGATATTGAAAAGAATTCAACTTGTCATAAAAACGATTTGAAACTTTTTGCAAACTTCAAATGCGTGCATTATAAAACCTATTTCAACTATGATCAAAATATTTTTTAGCTGCTTTCTAATGTCATAAGGAACTTACCCTATAAATATCGGCTTCTTGAATTTTCCAACAAAAATCGCGAAAAAACATAAAAGCAAAATAATTTTTATACCTTGTTATATATTTTTACAATACACTATTTAAAATATAAGAATTGAATTATTATATTGCAATTTTAACATGAAATCGAAGCTTAATTAAAACTACATCAATGTTTAAGTATTCATAGCCTTAGAGAATATTTCTTCGTTGGAAGACAAAATTTTTCAGAGTGCCTGACTTGTTCAGTTTTCAAAATAAAGTATATTGAATTTGGTCTGAAATCTTTGTAAAACGAAGAAAATAATTTTTATTTATAAATTTCTTTTATAAATTATTATGTTATCAGGGTAAAACAGAGAACACATGCTCCAGCCGAGATGGAATTGATTTATGTGCAATAACTAAGGCATTAGCAACTCAGAGTGTGGAAATTACCACTTTGGCTTTAGTTGTGGTAAGTTTACATATAATTATATTTTAAAATTCAGTGAAATCTCAGAAATAAATTGAATTTTACTTACAGGAGCTGCAGAACCTCACAGGAAGCGTTATAAGCACTTTGGCTTGCAATTCAGGAGTTCAAGTAGTAAGTTAATAATCTTATATAAGATTAAAAGTTACATATTAATAAAACGCGAAATTTGTGGAAGTGTTATATTTATAAAAAAATCATTTTTAATTTTTAGTTTTAAATATATATTTTTTATGTTTAGTGTCTACCCGCTTGCACCATCGTACAGGCTTTACTCGGATTAGATGTTCAGATGGTATGTAAAAATACTTAACTCTTGAATGTTTTAACCTCAATAATAAGTAAAATATTAGTTTATAGTTATAGGTTTAATTTAAATGATTAAGATCACTCCAATATTTTATTATCATTTATCGATCTCTTTACTTATTAATTTTTACAAAGGCTTTTGAAATTATCAATATTCGTATTATTTTTTCGAGAAGATAAAATATAAATCGGTTAATAGAAAAAAATGCGACGTTTGAAGTTTTCTTTACATATTCTACAGCTTTGATTTTTTATTTGTTTACGAAATTTGTTTTTTTTAAATGTACTTTAAAATAACTCTGCAGTAAAGAAAGATAATTATTATTGAATTTTTATTTCAGAATATAATAAACACAATATTTGTGGACGTGAGTGGACAAGAACCTGAATGCAATAACTAAATATGATATACAGAAAAGTAAATAAAATATTTGTCAATTACCTGTAGTAATAAATTAGAATAAAACAATATTTTGGTTATATGTAGTATCTATTTTTAGTGTTATTGGTCCGATTTTTTTACTGTGACAATTTGCATGATATTTTGGAATTTGGGTCATCATACCCTTAATTTTGCAATTGAAGATAATCTGAATTTTGTACCGGCCCTGAAGCGTTGTTTTTTTTAAATAATTTCAGATATCGATAGGAAGCCTAGTTTTAATAAAGGAATGTTCCAAAAAGTTTTTAAAAAAATCCAATACATTAGGTAGACCGCATGCTATGCCATCTAGATACTGACCGGTACATTTTAAGAATTTCAATAAAATAAGGTTTATAGTGTTTAAAATAAGCTTTAAAATGAGCATTGTTAAAAGTCCTTTACACGCAAGGTGAGTGATCGATAAAGAAAACTAGTGGGGTGGGTGGCATCGTGCCTTAAGGCAAATTGCTGGAACTTCTCGTACCGTAACGAAATGTTTGAGGAATACTGAATGTTTTCAAATAGATTATTATTAATATTGTAATGTTGTCTAATATTTATAAGAATTATATAAACTGAATTGCAAAGTTGAAATTATTTGTTCAAAGTATATTAGAACTATAGTCAGAATTTAAAATAAAATCTGGATTATTTTCGATATACAAAAAATTAAAAAAAAAAAAAAATTAAAAAAAAGTTGAAACAGAATTTTTTTTCCAAAATCAATTATTTTGTTGAGACAAGCAGAAAGTTTTTTTAATCAATTAAATCGGACGCTTAGTTCTCTCAAAAACTGCCAGTTTTTGTACATTTAGCTCCGTATTTGCAAAATGGCTGGGCCTGCCTTTGCCTAAACTAATAACCACTTCTCCCAATCATTACTAATTGAATGTTTTTTTAGATCATTCAAATCGGATGCTCCGTTCTCTCAAAAACTTGATTTCTATTTTCTGCACTCTTTGCTCTTTATCTCCGTAACTGCTGGACCTGCCTTTGCCAAAAACTAATCAGCACATCTTCTTATCAATAGGAATCGAATTCAAAAACGAATTCATTTTTGAACCATTCAAACCGGTTGATCCGTACGCCCGAAAACGTGGACGAAAAATTGTATACATACATACACACACACACATCCATTTTTTTGAAGTATGCCAAAATGTTCAGAAACCTTCAAAACGTCGAGAAATGTAAAAATTTTCAATTCCGATTTTCGGCCCATTACAATAACTTACCTTACGGGAAGTTAATAAATGGAAATTTAATATTTAAAGAAGTGCCATTTAAGAAGTTTTAATATGAAAAGTTTTACCGAATATAGGAAACATGTAATTTTTCATCTGACATAAAATGGTACTTAATACTGCGATCCTAAACACATATTCCATGTCCTGCAAATAATACGCTTTCTCGCATAAGGCGCATTTTTGATTCGGTCCGTGCTAAATTGTCGTAACGGGGATTTACTGATAATGAAAATGTTTAGAA